AGTCCTGCCATTGATGAGAGTGCCACAACATGACCATGATTTTTTTTTATCATACTTGGTAAGAATGCTTTCAATGTCTAAAAATATTCTCTCTTTGTGAACAATGATTGACAAAATTTAATTATATACTTTAACTATAAGTTGCTTAATATATTTCATTTCCGAATGTCAAATTGATATAATATATTTATTTCCAAAAGTATCTTAATCTGTGTCTTATTTTACACATACAAGCCAAACTATCTATATAGAACACTTTTTTATGAGATGTAAGTTCATCTTCTTCGTACGTCGTACCGTTCGTACGCCATACGCTTGTTAGTGCATAGACGATGTCTTCTGCATTTATCCGCAGATATAAGTGACGTCTTTTGATCAAATTTTTTTCACGTTAAATCAATATAAAAATTAATTTTTTTGATCTTATTTTAAAAAATTCTTTATTTCGATTGAACAAAAATAAAAAAACGCAACAATAAAGTGAAGGATAAATAGTCAAATTGTTTTGTTAAAGTGTTTTTTCCTACATTTTAATACAGAAAATGTATCAATAATATTGTCGTAACTTAAGTTCTTGATAACTTTGGATTCGATATAAAAAAAGTTTAGCTTAACTGAAAAAAAATTCTTTCTGAAACTTGCCAAATAAATATATTAGTATTTGTTAAAAAAAATAGTAGCAATTACGTTAATGATTATTACTAATATCTCGTAGTGTCTCATCTGCCTCAGAGAAAAGAATATTAATACTTGCCCAGTACTGCGCTGTCACATTAACGTCTATGACTCGTGCAATTTCATCTAGGCTATGATTTTGGAATGATTTAACAAACGCTATACCGGCGTTGTTGACCAAGACAGTAACGTCACCCACTTCTCTTTTTACTTTCTCCGCTACCCTGAAAACTTCTTCCCTATCTGCTACATTACATCTGTAAAACCCGATCAAATATTGATCAATACAGATAATTTTATTTTCTAGTTTACAAGTATTTGTGCTTGTGTAAATTCTATTTGAACACTATTTTTAATTTTACCGAATCTTGTAAAAAAAGCAATATTAGTTTACCGATACGCATGTACAGAATCTATTCCCATCTTTTTAATATTGTTCACCGTCTGGTTGTTGGTTTCTTCATTGATATCCCAACATACGACTGTTGCCCCTAATAAAGCATAGCCGATCGCTAATTCTTTTCCGATCCCATGACCTGCACCTGTTATCTACGATAGTATATATATATATAATATATAAAATATAATTTAAATTATAATTATTACAAATTAAAATTCACAAGTTTTCATTTTTTTAAATAACATCAATGTTATATTTTCTAGCTGAATTTTCATGTTTATACTTTGAAAGAAATAATGAAGTAATTGCTTGACAAAATACATATGAAAACGAATGGGCACTAAAAATATAGAGTCTTTTGTCTAGAGACAGTTAGTTCAGAGTCTAGAATACAAGTTTTACTATCGGCTAACGCAACATAATTTGGCGTAGCACTTTCCAGTAAGAAATAACCGTCAATTAGATATGGTATTATAATGTCGAATTTTGATTTAATTTAATTAATTTCAAAATTATTGTACTGATGTCGATTCATTAATTTAATGAATCATTTCTTGCTGGGTTATCTGTAGTAAGAAAGAAAAGTAAGGTTAGATAGATAGAGAAATAGAAAGGAAAATTTGAAATTTCTCGTGCGGGCGCGCGCATGTAAACACACACACACGTAAGTTATATAATTTTATAATTTACAATTAGTGGTATAATTTTTATAATTTTCTTACGTAATAAAAATAATTTATCTTCTTATATATTTTTTAATGTATAATTGTATTCTTCTTACATAACAATATTTTTAGATTATAAATTTCTTACCAATACAATTTCACCAACTACGTTTTTCTTCTTCGGTGGAACAATTAATCTGTATACAGCCTCACAAATGTAATATACAATTTTCAAAACAAGCAGTAATATCTCTGATAGAAAGAGTAAAGTATCGTATAGTTTTAACCCAATTGTCTGAAACATTAACGATTTCTTTATAAAAACATATAATATTATTTAATAATATGTTTATTATATTTAGCTTTCTGTAAATCTTTAGAAAAACTTAAAAACTTAAAAAAATGCAGCTTTTTATTTTTTTATTTTTTTAGAATTAAAATAAAGATAGATAATCAAGTTTGTTAATATTATATTTACTGGCAGATGTTATTTTGTTTTAGGCTTACGTATGCAATTAGAGAATAAAAATTTATAGAAAAGTTTTATAATATTTAGTGAATTTAAAAATTTTTACAGAAATGAAAAAGATAGATAAGAAGACAGAGAGAAAGATAATAGAGAGAGAATTTATTTTTACATATTTTTATACAAATAAAAATATTTTCAAGAAAAAAATGTTAATTTATGAACATTATTGCGAGCAAAGTTTTTTTATAGTTTCTTATTTCAAAAAAATAACGCTGCTATATCTCTCGGAAAGAAATTTATATTTTCAATTCTTACTTGTCACAGAAAATTGAGTTTATTACACAGAATTAATACTTATTACAAATAAGAAAGAAATAGAATTTGTTTTACATACCTGACTGCTTTTGCTATCCATAATTGTTTTATACTGGGACGTTAAATTTCTTTTTAGTCTGTTTTGATGAAAACTCACTAGTTAACTGCAATAATTAGTTCAAGTGTAATCATTGCAGGTTCAATATATCAGCTTTTTTTTCTAAATGTTTTTAAAATAAAAACAGGTTTGTGTGTGTGTGTGTGTGTGTGTGAGAGCTGCTAATTAAGAAGAACTTCGTTCCATAGATCAAAGATTAAATAATGCAACTTTGCTGCATTGTAATAAATGCAGCGCGTAACAGGCGGTGCACAGAGTGTTCTATTATACATGAAAAATCTATAATATTTATAATTTCTTTAATTTATTTTTCATGTAACACGAGTAGAAATATTATTGCTTATAGTCCGAGTTTTTAATTCATCGATACATTAAGATCTTATTTGCATAAGAATCATATTTTCAACTTTAAATTATTTATCCATATACATAAAAAGAGATATTGTTATGCAAGTTTTGAGTTTGAAATTGATAGGTCGGAATTCTATCGTGTAAAAAAAACTATCGTTAATTCTGTCATTAATTGTATGCAGCAAGCAGTAAATCGAGTTATACGAGTCCGAATTTATAACTGAGAACTTTAGATTTTGAATAGTCTGGAGTCCTATTGTACATGAAAAATAGTTTCTTTAATTTAGTTTTGTTTTTCATGTAGCATAAATAGAAATATTATTGTCTAAAGTCCGAGTTTCTAACTCATTGTAAATTCAAGGTCTTGAAAATTAGAAGTTTGGTAAATTGATCAATGATTTTATTCACACCTTTTCCGTAATGAACGTAATGTTTTAAACTTAATCATAACGGACACAAAAAATTTCTTTCAAGATTTGAAAATCCTAACAACTATTTAATTTTGATTGCAAGAACACTTCTTCAGCACTTCAAAGTTATAATGTGACAAAGAACGTAAAAATAGTCCTTTTTGTAAGTTTATCTGCAAATTTTTAAAAATTATAACGTAATAGAGTCATTCTACAACGGATTCGGATTCAACGTCTAAAAAAACTACAGGAAATGACTAGTCTTGTTATAATGTTTTTTTGCACTGTGTTATATTCATATATTAAGAATAATTCTTACATATCAAGACAATTTCGTTAGCTATAGTCTTTTTCTTCGTTAGTATGATTAATTTGCATACTCGCATGAAATATAATTATATATATATAATAATAATATAATATAATAAAAATATAATTATATGTATATAATTTTCAAAATAAACAATATCTCTGCCAGAAAAATAACAGGATATTATACCATGTTTTCAATTCAATTGTCTGAAAAATAGTGATTTTATTATAAGAACATACGTAATATCAATAGTCGAAAGAGGAAAATACAGAAAAGGAAGGAGAGAAAGAGAGAGAGAGAGAGAGAGAGAGAGAGAGAGAACTTATTGTGATATATTTTTATGTAAAAATATTTTCAAGGAAAAGTATAAATTTACGAATATTTTTAACATTAATGACTATTTATTGTGAATAAAATTTTTTTTATAGTGTTCTCTTTTTTTCAAAAGGAATTTAAATTTATAATTTTTATTTGTTATAAAATTGAATTTATAATACAATGTTAGTTTTTATTACAAATATAAAAAAAATAGAATTTGTTTCACATACCTGATTGTCTTCGCTGTCTGTAACTCTTTCAGAGCACGACACATTAAATTTTCTTTCAGTCTGTTTTGATGAAACGTCAGTAGTTAACTGAAGTCACAGAATGAATTGCACGCAGTTTTCCTTGACATAACAAGGTTTGCTATAAGTTTTGTAGGAAAAAAAGATAAAGAATTTATCGCCGTTAATAAGAGATAGCACGATACGACTTTGCTGGCTGTTGGTATTTTCATTGATTCCAACATACTACTGTTGCTCTTAATGAAGCATAGCCAATCGCTAATTTCTTTCTAATACTATGACTTGCATCTGTTATTTTCTATAGTATATATAAAATATAATTTAAATTAAAATTATGACGAGTTACTATTTACAAATTTTCAGTTTTTGAAATAAAATTTATATTATATTTTAACTGAATTTTTATGTTTATGCTTTAAAAAGAAGTGAAATTACTTGACAAAATACTTATAAAAACAATGGCATCATCAAATAGAGAATTTTACAATTAGTTCAGAGTCTAGAATATAAGTTTTTTGACTAACACAATATAATTAGACATGACATTTTTTAATAAGAAATGATTGTCAATTAGATCAAATTGATGTCGAATTTTAATTTAATTAATGTCGAAATTATCATATTGATGTCGATTTGACATTAATTTGGTAATTTCTCTCTATGTTATCTGTAGTAAAATAGAAAGGTAAGAGTAGATAGATAAAGATAAAGAAATGAAAATTTGAAATGTTACAAAAAATATTGGTGTATCATATGATTTGGTGTGTCTCTTTTTTTTTATGTTGACATCTATATAAGATAAAGTTTATGTATTAGATATATATATAGGAATATATATATATATATATTATATAGAAATATATATAAGATAAAATAATTTTAATGAAACAATTGACACTTACATCTTACATTTCATAATCTTAACTTTTTAAATTTAGTATTATTTTAATATATACATATATACATACACATATACATATGAGGTATTGTCTGTCAAGTGGCCTCCTTCTGTCCAAAATTCAGCTCAACCAAAAAATTCCTTCTTGAGCTCAAATTGTAAGTACACATGTCTACTTTCATTAGCACTCAGGCCTTTTTGAAAATTGAATGATGAATCTAGAATCGCGACTCGAATGGACTGTCGTCAAAAAATTTTTGGAACAAACTTTAATTACTGAAGTATAGGGGACTAGAACATTTTTCTATTTCCATAAATTAACGTTTTGGCCTTGGGGGCTGCTGAATACGTTTTGGTAAAAATAAGAGTAAACACGATATAAATTAGATAATTTTCACAATTTTAAAAATATTTTTTATCTCGCGCTTTATTCGCTTTTTTACTTATTTTTTAACTTTTCCATTTTTTTACCTTTTACAAAAGTTTCGCAGCACACTTGGATAGTCTTTGCGACACCCCATATGTTCTGTAGCTGAAAAACTCTGGTTCATTATATTGTTTTTAATTTTTGAACAAGATACCAATTTGTTTATATTTTATTTTACTGTTATTTTCACAACGCACTGGATATTTTACTGGTTATTCCGCTTTTCTCATTGTACTGAAAATGACTCGAACAAGAGTTAAAATGTTGACGTATTAACTTGTATTTGTCTATCAATATATATTTTTAAAACACGTTTTCAATTGTGTCATCTTATATTGGTTTCATTCGTAGTTATTAAAATTTCAAAATATATATGTATAGTGAAAAGATTGTTCACAGAAGTATAGTAAATCGTTAAGTCAACAACTTTTGCCTATGTAAACTAAATTTTTGGTGAATCTCAAAGTGGAAAACTAGTTTTGGTGACTAATTAAAATCATCGTAAGAATTAAAACTGTTTTGTGAACAGTCTTTTCACCATACACATTACACAGCTTTCAAATGGCAATAAATTTCAGTTAGCGTTATATCAGCACTTAAAAATTTAGTCATTGCGCGTCATCCAATCATTATTTGAACTTCACTGATTTGTTTTTTTTATTATATCTCAATTAAGCATATATTATTTGGATATATCTAATAATAAATAAACATTTCTTTATATTTAATATATTTAATAATTCCATCACATAAGTAAGAAGAACAAAAATGGATATGTTTTATAATATAATAATAAAATGCATCAAAGTTTACAAATTTTATGGCGATTTATAAATTATGTTACTTTTTTATCATCTGGATGGACACCGTAACTGAAAAAATCCATTCCACACTTTAAGGCTGCATTAGGTAAACATAATCTGAAAAAATATTCCTATTATAGATATAAAAGTAATAATTATAAAACAATAGTATTCAATATATTAGTATATTTACAGTAAATTGTTTTGCGATTTATTATTGTTGTACACTTGAAAATACATTAAGTGTGTTAGGATTAAATTTTAATTTACATACTTTCCTATCTTAAAAAAGAACAGCCAATATGAAGGTATACTCTTATTTTCATAATTTCGTCTTTGCGCGTCAATTATTGACGAAGCTACTTCTTGCGGTGAAAGTTCGCCCATTAACCATGGAAATCTGTAATATGTGTGGATAAAATTGAATCACTTGTCATTTGTTCGCTACAAATACTTTAATAAATAAATGACGGTGCTCATATATAAAAAAAATTAATTACATAATAAAAAGAGAGAGTGTAATGTTGAAAGAATAAACATTTGATTTCGTCAAATATATAGAAAATAAAAAGAATGAATTGAATATGTGATAAGTGATTGCAAAGCATTTGTTATAATAGTGTATCTTTGAAAACTTGCCTAATGTTTGAGTTTTTAACCAGTCCGGTAAGCACTATGGCCGGATATATAGTAGTAAATTTAACAAGTGATTTTCCGTTACTCAATGCACGTAATTCTTCAGATATAGCTTCCATAATTGCTACAATACATATATCAAAATATATAAGAAAAGTAAGAAATATATATGTATTATGTGTGTGCTTGCGTGCGCGCGCGCGCGCGGCGTGTGTGTGTGTTTGTGTGTGTACGTATATTAATGTGTTCATCTTTATTTATGTAATTTGTATTTGTTCATATAATATTGTGCCATTCATAATATCGTTAAATATGAAATGAATTACCTTTGACTGCGAATTTTGAAGGGCTATAAACCGTTGCATAAGGAGCACCGAAAAGTCCTGCTATTGATGAAAGCGCTACAATATGACCATGATTTTTTTCAATCATATTTGGTAAGAATGCTTTTAATGTCTGAAAATGTCTTCTTGTGAACAATGATTTCGAAACTTAATTACATACTCGTCTAATTGTAAGTCCTAAGTCGATTAATACATTTCGTTTATTACGAAGAGCTGATGCAATATATTTATTTCCGATAATAATGTCGATTATGTTAATGTTATGGTTATTTTTTACGTCTCCGTTACATTACTTACCCAATAATGTGCTGTCACGTTGACATCTATGACTCGTGCAATTTCATCGAGACTTTGATTTAAAAATGATTTTATAAATATTATACCGGCATTGTTGACTAATATAGTAACATTTCCCACTTCATTTTTAACCTTGTCCGCTACCCTAAAAACTTCTTCCCTATCTGTTATATTACATCTATAAGACATAACCAGATTTTAATCAGTATTGGTAATTTAACATTAGGCATTCTATATATGTAAATTTTATAGGTTTTTTATTCTGTCGAGCAAAAACAACTTACCGGTATGCATACACAGAGTTTTTTCCCATTTTTTTTATTTCGTTCATTGTTTCATTGTTAGTTTCTTCATTAATATCCCAACATATCACTGTTGCTCCTAACGAAGCATAGCCAATCGCTAGTTCTTTCCCAATACCATGGCCTGCACCTGTTATCTATGATTTTATATGTCATATATAATATATAATACATTATGTTATTATTATTACAAATTACAATTTACAAATTCTCAAAGTTTAAAAAATTTTTAAACAGTTAAAAAAGTTTAATAAAAATAGCATTGATATTATATTTTCTAGTTGAATTTTTATTTTAATGCTTTAAAAAAACGTAACAAATTTGGTTAATAAAATACTTATTAAAATTAATTATTAAGTAGAGAATGCCACTTCAGATTTTAGAATACAATTTTTTTTCTACTTTTACTATGTAATAGTGTAATTGTGTGTGTATGTATGTGTGTGTGTGTGTGTGTGTGTGTGTGTGTGCGCGCGCACACACACACACACACAAAATATAACAATATAATTTTTTAAATATTTTTAATATAAAAATAATTCTATTATATGTTTCCTTATATGTATACCTATGTCTGTACATATATTAAGAATTTCATACGCACCAAAACGATTTCACCAACTACGCTCTTCTTCTGTGGTGGAATGATCAATCTGTACGTAGCTTCGTAAATATAATAAAATATTTTTAATATAAGCAATAAGATCTCTGCTAGAAGAAGCAAAACGTTTAATATTTGTGCCTGAAAAATTGACAATTTTTTAATAAGTAAATAGAATAATATGAAAATGTCTGCTAATTGTGTTTATTTTTGTTTGATATAATGATATTTTTTTAATACAAATATGTGCATGTGTTATGATTTTATTAAAATACGTTTATAACATATACGTGTATTATGATCTTGTTGTATTAATCGGTATAATTATATAGTTGCATAGTAATGTTTTAAAATTTATATTATTTACATTAATATAATGTATAAGATATAATATTATAGAAAATACATGTATATTATATAATACAATATAAAACATGTTAATAATATATTATATAATGTGGTTTACATCGCAATCTTATTAAACATAAATTTTTAAAACAACAGATGTCGAATTAATTAGTATTTGATTAGTTTCTATTTTAGAATATTATTTACATGTATTATATAAATTAAATTGAATTTATTTACATGTATTTACATATATTATTTACATGTATTATATAAGTTAAATTGAATTTATTACATATATTAATTCATAGTATTAGTATTAATCTTATAGTATTAGAGAGAAAGTATTTACAATAAGAAAGAAATAAAATTTGTTTTATTTACCATAATTCCTATTTATTACACGTTATAACTTTTATTTAGACACGTTATAACTTCTTTCCAATCAAGTTTATAAATCCGTGTTATCACAATGTGCGCGCTTATATAATTGATCTGGTTGTTTGCATCTAATTTTATCAAGCGCATGCGTGAGACTGTTGAAAAAAATAATGGAAATCAATTATTGTAAAAAACCTGTCACTTATATAATAAACGGCATAATTTTTTTTAATCGCTGGAGAGGGGAGAAAATGAATTAACAACATATTTACATTATCGTAAACATTTATTTTTGTTATAACACAATTGTAAAATCAATTAATAAACTTTGCACGCAATGTTTCTATCTAGTATCTGTATAATTAATTTATTGTATTTTGTAATTTATTTTATCTAACAATTATAAAGTCACATTATATCTTTGGCGCTTCATGACATGCTCATACATTAAGTATTTGCTGTCTTGTCACTTGTGTGATGATATATATGTATAATTAATATTATCAATATCCTATTTAAAGACTGTTAAATCGATACTCGCGAATTATCGAAAAATCTCAAAGTTCATTGTTGACCCTTTTCCGCGATGCTGATTGATTCTCTCACGCGCTTACCTCGTGAGCGACTGTTATCATGTATGTATATTTGACGGTTGTGCGTGTAGAAGAGTTAATACTGTAATACAATGTAATTGTATGCCAGTGACGGTTACAAGGGGGGGGGGACGGAGGGGGCGATCGTCCCCCCCAGAGTCTCCAAACAAATTTCGTATATTAGAAAAAGTTGGTTTTAAATGAATTGAGAAAAAAAATTATCAGAGATTATTCGAGACTAAATAATGTTTACTCAATTTTTTTTTAATAATAAAAAATATTAAACATAACATTAACAATAATAATAACTAAATATTCACATTTCGTCATGGCATACCCAAAACAACTCTCTGGATCCGCCACTGGAGATGCGTCGAACCGGACCGTATCTCTTTATGCGAACCGGCGAGTCGCGAGCACTCGAGATTTCGGAATTTCGGAATCTCAACAACGGTTGAAGGGATCAATTTTTAAGTAGGCTCAGTGGATAGCTTAGGTTCGAATTATATAATAAAAAATGTTTTTACTTTTCCTCTACGTGCTCTACGAGCAGAGTTATTGCGGGATAAAGTCCAAATCTGGGAATTTTGCTTTAAGAGATATGATATGATGAGATGTACGCTATATATGGGATAAAAATTTTACCGCTAAGATTATAAATTATAAGACTGAATTACTTGATTATTATATCAAAATAAATATTAATAAATGTTATATATCTATAAACATATAATTTTATAATTTGTTAGGCTAAATTTACATAAAACATTTCTAAGAATTGTAGAACTAAGAAAGTTTAAATATCGCGTGATTAGTTAATTTATAAATAATATAAAACATATTTAAATTAACATTGTTTCTTATAGTTCAAGACGAGAAATCCAATGGTGCTAATTAAAATTACGTCACATGTGATCGGGAAACACATCAAAAATTGATTTTAAAGTCGAAAAAACTCGTGGCGTCAGTCATTCGCAAGACAAGTTGCTACGCTGCATGTGTCGATGATATGTAATATGTACATTATATTTGTTCATTACAAATAAAGAATTTGTTATAAAAATGCTACATTTAATAGTAAAAATATTGGGCGCAACGATAAGTCCCGTGCGCCTGCACGAACATGTTCGGGTCGCGACTTCCCAAATTTAACGTAATTTTAACTAGCACCATTGGATTCCTCGTCTCAAAAACTATAAAGGCCGAGACATAGATTTTTGCATAACGTTGCATAACGCACAAGACATAAGGCATAAGAAAATCAACCAATCAGAATATGAAATAAAGGACTCTGATTTGTTGATTCTCTTATGCTTTACGTCTTATGCGTTATGCAGCGTTATGCAAAAGTCTGTATCTCAGCCTTAAGAAACGATGTCAATTTTACTTTCCGCAAGCGAGAACACCCTTTTTTCAAAATGTATTATTCAAGGTTTTACGAATATCAAATTTTATACATGTTGAAAATTATGAAACGATTTAATTTGTCTGCGGACCTGATAAGCTTTAACCAAAGATGATAAAATAATAAAATTATTTATTTATGCGTCGCGATTGACCACGCGTTGCAATTGGCCACGTTGTGATTGACCACGTCACGACTGATCACGCGTTGCAATTGGCCACGTTGCGATTGACCACATCGCGATTAATAATAATATAATTTTTATTTTTTTACAAATATATACAAATTATGTACAAATATAATATAACAAGACATCACTTATTTATTAACAACATAACTCAATACCTGTCATTTTTTTAGTTGCTTGCAAAAAACTGAAACATAAAGAAAAAAAAGGAAAAACATATTTTAAAAATATATATTTTTATTTTTCTACAGCCAGTTATTATCTCAAAATTGCATTTCAAAATTAATTATATTAGAAAATTTTTATGATTCAATACAACCAAACTTATTTTCTACAAAACTTTTGTTTTATTGTTTAGAAGGTTTTGTTGTTGGAGCGATATGAGCAAGATAATTGCTGCGTTCAGCAGAAAATGCAGCTTTATAACTATTGTAAGATTCTTTAATATGATTGATTTTTATATTTAGATCCAATGAGGAATTGAGAGCAAGAATTAATCATATTAAAGAGTTTTGCAACAGTTGCAAAATTGTTTTTTCTGAACGCAGCTATTGTTTCCCAAAAATTTTCATCAAATAGAGTGCTTTCTTTATCTATTCTGGCTGAGATAAAAATTGTGAAAATAATTTTGTAATTAGTAGTGAAATTTGTAATTAATAATCACGAAAAGCTAATTTCGACAAAAAAGGAATATTTTTGTACATGTATGTGATTACTGTTCTGATCTTAATTCAACATTATGCGTGACTAGATGTATGTTCTTAGCTCTTACTAGACGTCTTATCAAGTAGGAATATGCATTTTTGTAGATTTTCATACTTTTCTTAATATAAATTTTTTTATATTAGTACACGATCTGTCCCAAAAGTTTCCGAACTTTCTTCATACGGATGGTATTAGTGGCATTATTGAGGGTATCATCTATATAAATAAGGTTGCACCTTCTTGATTGAAGTTTCGTTCACAAACTCTGTAAGTAGAATTGAGGTCCTCCTAACGACTGTTTTATCACAAGTATAAAATCGATAATACCTTTGTGACACACATCGAAAAATCACAATGGAGCAAAAAACATATATTAAATTCTGTGTGAAATGACGCATTTACAAGAATTGGTCGGGTTTATCCTCAATACCGAGTGCAAGGCATTTATATGTTAAAAATTAATATATAATTGACGTTTTCTAATTGATAAAATTTTTTTACGCACAAAAATTTTATTAAGTTCATCCTCTTATCCGCCTCTTTCTTCTATATATTTTTTACAATAATAAACATGTATGTGTATATTATATTTATTATTATTATTTTAAGTGGAAATAATTTTTATTATTTTATTATTTTTTTAACTAAATAATATTGTAGAGTTGGAGATATTCAGCATGTTAATTTGCGTGATCGTAGCGCGTCTTGGCTGGATTATGCATAGAAACGTAAGATAAAAAATTAGTTATTTCGTTGATCAGCTTTTTACGATCGCATTTTATTTTGAATTGACGTTTCTTTTAGACAGAGAACATCATCTAGAAAAGACGTGTTTCGAATAAATTTCGCGACGCAAACAAATTGCAGCTTGAACGTTAAACATTTTTCATACGCTTGTGTAAACTGAATTAAAATAAACATCTTTCTAAAATCCTACAATATATATTATGCTTTATTGATATAAACTCTTTAATATATATACAAAAACATTTCAATATATTTAACATTAATAACACATCCTTTTCTTAAAAAAAGACATGACATCGATACTCGCATATCACGAAATATTGTTATCGCATTTCCGCGATGTTGATTAGTTCTCTTGCTGTGCTTACTTTGTGAAAGGATATTGCATATTTTGACAATTGTGTGTGTATTGAGATTGATGAGTAATTGCAAATTATAGTAAAAAGTGTTAAATAGCGCGCGTGAAGCGCGCGCCTGTAATGCTAGTTGAAGAAAAACTTATAACATAATTGTAGCTCTTAAATAAAAGTAAGTTTTTTCCACAAATTTTTTAAAGTTTAATGAAATATAAACTACAAGATCCTTATACATATTAATTAGCTTGGTTCGACGCCAGAATCAATGTAATCTTTTATACTATTTTGTGCATTATCGGGAAACATCCTGAAATCAAAATTATATTTTTTTTATCTATATTTTAATTACACACTAATGTAAAATAATGTCACAAATTAAAAATGCGACGTTATATTCTGACTTATATTTTGCATGCAATACATTACATAAAATTTTGATATAGTATATGTAATAAATTTATTTATAATTAAAAATGAAAAATTTAGATTTAAGAATATTTAATGATATTTAAAAAATTTGATTGTTACAATTTAAAATATGTATATGTATATATACGTGCAAATACTATACATATATGATATACTTATGATGTATTAAATATTGCGTAATATTAATTGTATAAATCAGTATTAAAAATTTATTAATATATATATGTATACAAACTATTTAATTACCTTCCGAATGACACAAGTGATAACCAAAATAATGGTATAGTTCTCATCTTTATATTTTGTCGTTGCGCTTTAATTATTTGTGCTGCTGTATCTTTCGGGGAGCTTAATAGTAAGAGTGAATTCAATCTAGGAGTAAGATTAGGTAAAGAAAAATGTTAATATCAATTTTAATAATCAAGTTCGTCATATTTGCATGCACTGAATGTATTTACTTTTTTTATTAACTTAATAACATTAAATATTAATTTTACTACTAATTTAACTTACATCTGATTTATTTTTGGCTTTTTGCAAAGTCCCGTATCTACCATGTAAGGATAGATGGTAGTAAATTTGATCAAAGATTTTCTCTTACTAGTTACTCGTAATTCTTCCTCAAGCGCCTCCATCAGACCTGAAAAATATTAAAAGAGCTTGAAGTTTCTAAATATTTATAAAATTAAATCACTTATTTTTGGTAAATTCTGAACATACGTAAGATATAATATGTAAGAAATAAATTATAATCGGTAGGAGATCAGGTTTACCATGGACTGCATATTTTGAAGAGCTGTAAGGAACTAAGTAAGGAAGTCCTACGATGCCTGCCATCGATGAGAGTGCAACGATGTGGCCATAATTTTTTTCAATCATACTTGGTAAGTATGCTTGCAATATCTAAAAAAAATACATAACATTTTTTAACGAGGACACGTAATATTATACATAACATTTTATATATTTTTAATAATATCATATAATAATTGAAGCAAAATTTTTAAAGAAGTAAAAATTTCTAATTATCAAATAATTATTTCGAAGAAATATAAAAGAAGAAAGAGCATCATTAATTCAAGAGGTAAAAGGCAACTTAATATTTGTATATAGCCAATTTTAACTTGCCCAAAAGTGTGCTAATACATTAACATTGAAGATTTTTAAGATTTCATCGGCTGTGTGATCTAAAAAAGTATGACACGGCATTATGCCGGCATTGTTTATTAAAATTGTAACCTCGCCGACTTCTTCCCTCACTTTATGGGCTACTGCAAAAACTTCTTCTCTTCTAGTTACATCACATCTATAAAATGGCGAAATCTTAATTAATGTCAATCATTTGATACATACTATGAATATTATGACATTTTTTATGATGTCAATTGGAATTTAATACAATAAGAAGTTAAAAATACTTAAAGAAAGAGAGACGTAAAATAATATAAACAATGTGATCTTTGCAGTGTAACAGAAATATTTTATTATATTAGTAGTAATTAAAATATTTGTGCAATAAAATAAATTGTCTACTGTTCGCAAAAATATAAATTGTAATTATTATTGTTCGAATATTACACGTATTTTATTATTTTGGCTGGCTATGTGTTAAAGTAATAATCAAAATTTCTTTGAATGATATACGACTTAACAAACACAGATTATAACTACAATATCGCAGCAATATTGTAATATTCCTGCAATTCAGCTGGAATATTACAATGTTGCTGTTATAATCTGTTTGCTGGGACGAAACAAAAACTTATATTCTTATATTATAACCAATATTATAACAATAACGTACTGATATGTATATACATCTTTTCCAATTTTTTCTTTAATCTCCTTCGCCGTTTCCTCGTTCGTTTGCTTGTTCATGTCTAAGCACACCACTTTCGCACCCAAGCATGCATATTGAATCGCCAATTCCTTTCCTATACCATGACCCGCACCTGTTATCTTGTAAATGTAACAAACATAATATAAAAACACAGTTGTTGTAAAACAAAGCTTATTCATTCTTTACAAATTGTATTATATCGTTGTTTGATATCATCAGAGTTTAATTTTTAATATGACATTACGGTCCGTATATATAGAACGCCTTAAGTATTTAATCAATATAACGACGTTAGCGCGCATTGAGCATAAAGTTTGCTTTACATATGCTACAGAAATCTCAAGACTTGTTAGCGCTCTAACATCGTTATATGTAAGCGCGTTCCAAACATGGATCTATATTATACATCTATTTTAATATTATGTTAACACTATCTCTCATATTATTTCCGTTAGCTCTCATTCTTTCATATCTAAATCTGAATTAGTGGATATATATATATATATATATATATATATATATATATAAATTTTTTCTTCTAAGAAGTTTAATTTGCCTGGACTATATTGGCATATAGTAAGTATTCAATACGCGCATATATTGACTGCATTCGGTATTTACTTCATGCTTTTGGCGCTTACAATGTTCACGGAATCATTTTATTCTTGTTGCTTATGAAATATAATATTAAACAAGGACAAATCATGCTCACAGCGCGCGAGCGTTAAAATGGAACGCAGACATTGTATTTTGGAAATCACTAACAAATAAGTGAATAATGCTATAATCACTGACAAATCAGTGGACTGCTGTTCTCGCTAATTCCACAGCGGATTTAGCTGTTTCACTTATTTATTCTAGCGATGCAAGGCGTTAGTAACTCAATCAGTGACTTTTCCAATGATTTAGATTCAGAGAGTACATATATACATAAAGTTAAAATAAATATATAAACAGATAAATTAATTTGTCTATTTAAACATTTTTAACAAGTAAGAAATTTAGACTCGGCCAAGGAACGAGCAAGGTGTGACGTGACATAAAATCACTAGAACATGATAGTATAAAAATTTTAAAGAATATTTAATGTTAAACCGTTTTGACTGTACAGAATCTTTCTCAGTTGAAATAAATTAACATATATAAATTGATTAATAAAAAACATCAATAAAATAAATTAAACATTTAAATACGCAGATGGCCTACAAATGCGTTAAATTAATTACTTTCTTAAATATCATCGTATTTAAATTTTTAATTTATTATATTGTCGTTAATGTTTTTTATTAATTTATTTATATGTTAATTTATTTCAACTGAAGAAGACTGTGCAGTCGAACTCGTTTTGACATTAAATATTCTTCAAAAATTTTTATAATATCATGTTCTAATAATTTCTATTAATTTTGTCACGTCACACCTTGCTCATTCCTTGGCCGAGTCTAAATTTCTTACTTAATGTTATTTAAACACGAGCTGGAGAATGTAATTTTCATTTAAACATTTTTAATTTTTTTGTCAATTATGAATTTTTTCGAATTATATTTTTGATAACTTTTAATAATATCTACTTTTATGTTATGCATAGTACACATTATATTTTCCGTACGTACCAAAACAATCTCACCGGTCACATTCTTTTCTTGTAATCCAAAGATATGATAGTACACGCTCTCGCAGATGTAGTAAAGAATTTGCAGTATGAGCCGCAACGTATTTGTCAAAATTTGTATGATCTTGGTCGCATTCATGATGAACTGGAAAAATAATTATCGTAGGTAGCGTAATTTTCTTATATTAATATATTAGTTACTCCCGCGGATCGGTTTCGCGCACTCCCGCAAGAGAAATAAACAATACAAGCACTTATAGTGAGGAACTCTTTATAACACTTTATTAGTACGACTTCGAATACAAGAGATCAAAAATACGATTGGAGCGAATGGTTCCGTTCGGTTTGACGACTCATTCCAAAATTAATCGCAACTCACTTGACAGCTGAAATATTTCGTCGTCGGTTCGCGTTCCACGACTACTTCGCGCCGGCGCGGTGACTCGCTCCGGCTTGCCGAAAACTTGAGATCGCGGCTCGGGCGTAACAATATCCATAGTATTATATGCTTATAAGTTATAGATAGTTAATAAACTGAAGGTATTAACTTTAAGAATTGCTAGATGACTTATTATAAAAACAAAATATTTCACAAAATAAAGAATGCTCATGTTTAGAAATATATTTTATAATTTGTAGAATAAATAATTCTGCGTGTTATTAAACATATTAGAATAATCGATGTTGACAATAACAAATATTTCAAGAATTCAGCGTATCAGTTATTAGTACATGATTTCGGCGATATGGATGTTGTTATATTCATACATTGCGTTGATATATTACTTTTTTTAAATGTCAGATCATGTTAACGTACGTTTATTATGTTTTAAAGACAGAATACTTTTCTATACATATAGCTAAAAGTTTTTCAAAAAATGTACTATATTAGTATTCATTTACCGGTTTATATTTAACATATGTAATGATGTAAATTTATGCGACATGTGTGCATAAATTTACATTAATATGATTACATAAAAATATGATAACATCGAAAAATCATGAAATATTGATAAAAAATAAATTTTTTTTAGCAACTACTTGAAAGCAAAGAAAGCGTAAAAGGTAGTAGAAAATGTAAATAAAACTTTGTTAGCAGTTTTTTCTCTATGCTGATTTTATAATATATAAATATTTAAAATATAAAATCTTTTCTCTATATTTCTCTATATTTAAGATTTATAAAAAATACATTTGTATATTTTATAATTATTTGAATGTGAATTTTTCAATGTATTTTGCATTTTAAATTATAATTTAGTAATATTACGGATAATGTTTCTAGATGACGTTATAGATAATATTATGTTTTAATTTATGTTTTATATTTTAAATATATAATACGGGTTGCTAATTAGAAAGTTGCTAAAAATAAACAGCTGTTGTTTTATAATGAATTAAAATAAATTAAACATTATTTAGAAGAAACAAATAAGTAAAACAAATATATTATTAATAACTTAAAGTAAATATGTATATTTCATGAATATTTATAAGTTTTAAAACTTTAGAATATTTATGAACTTTAAGAAATAGATATAAAAAAAAATTAAAGCTGCTTATATGATTTAGTAGTATATATTTAGATGTTTTTAATACAAGCAATTATTTTCATAAAAATTTTATGTAGAATATTACACAATAGAAAATAATTTGTGTTTAAAAAGAACGGTCTACTAATATTTGTTAAAATTTTATATTATTTAATACATACTCAAGTATTAATTTAACGTAATATAATTATGTTATTTGATTATTTTGTGTTAAATAAATATTTAATTTTTTAGTGTTAAAATAACACAATTTATTTTATGAGTAAGTGAATAAATAATATAAAAATAATGTAATTTTGAAACGTAATTTCTAAGGTGAATAAAAAATTAACGTAATTTAACGTATAAATATTAATTGTTTTTAAATATATGTTCTTACAATTTCTTGCAAAAATGTTACATTTATTTCTGTTAATTTTTACGTAATAATCTTCTAACATATGTATTTTGTGTTAAATAATTGACACAAAGATTTGAGTGAACCATTTAGGAAATGCAAAATTGTGTTGTACACAAATTTTTCAACTGTGTAGCCTTGAAGACAGTTATAATTATTGATTAAAAATGTAATACTTTTTAAAATATCTTAATAATTATGCAAATTTAGATAGATATTATTTTGTTATTACTTCGAAAATGTATATTATAATTACTAACAATAAGCGATAAAATTAGCTGAATTGATTTTTAAAAATATTATTTATTTTTACAAGTTTTAATATATATATATACGTATGTATTGTTTACTATGTGCTAGAAACGATAAGTTTCTTCTACAAAATGGCGTTAATTTATTCCATTCTGCCAACTATCATTATAACACTTCAAAAAATACCGTTTATTTTAGCAACCTCTCCGATTTCACTCTATAAATGTACACTCTTTGACAACCAAAAAGTTACGCACGCAGAAGCTGCAAAGAAAAGGAGTACATACCTTTTACTGTCAAAAAGTACATAAATGTATAAATATTATATATTTCTTGAAATGGAGTAAGACTAACCATTTTACGAAGAAAAATCGTTTTATTGCCAGTACTTGAATCTTTGAGATCACGAAACTTCAACTGTACCTCTCCGGTCTGCTGTGCACGGAACTGTACGATAAGTAGGACATGTTTCCTTGCGTCAACGAAAGCGAAAACTGAACTGGCGAACACGCCTGTAACAAGCTCAGGTATACCTGCCTGATTACAGGCACTTGCAACGATCGGCTACCTAACGGCCTTTCTTTCATGTATTTATGTTTCAAATGTGTGTTCGTTTTTTTTTTCTATTCAACCGAAGTTCGGCGACGGTTTAAAGTGAATGTAAGTTACCTATACCAATGTATGTTGGCAGGTATCCAGAAACAGACTATCGGTCATGAGAGATCTTAAACTCGTTCTCAGGGTCGTATTTATAACAGGTTTTTATGACGTTTATATAACGTATTGATTTCAGAATTGCTACAGTCTTCCATCTGTTCGAACTTGAATTTTTATTCCAATTGAATGTTCAAAGAAAGCAACAAACATATGTTAGATATTTGAAAATATCGATATCGATTTTCTACATGTATCAAAATACCTTACAGTTACTGAAAGTGCAAGGCATACAGTGCTGTAACATGCTTTGTGACTGAAAATGATCTCAACATTAAACAAATTTTATTAAAAACATTATTTTGCTACAATAACAGATTTTATTAAAAACATAAGTGGGAAATAGAGTAAAAGATGAAAAATAACGAAAGTATTTTTAATATTTATTAAAATTCATGTACATAAAATAATAACGAAGCAATGCGCATATCGGCATATAGACTTGATACGATAATACTTTTCATGAATACATAAATTATTATGTCATTAGATGGATTTTTTAATATCAAATTTTCTCGGAAACAAAGCTCTTTATGCGTGCACAACAAAATTTTATTTTATATTTTTAACTTATTATTTCTATATATCGAATTTCTTTTTCCTAATTTTATTATTATTAATAATATGACCTTTTAATATCTTACAATCAGATCTGTATTTAGAACTCTTATGATAATGTTAGCGCATATTTAGCATATAGTTATGTTACATATATTATAAAACTTTAGAATTCTTAGCTCGCTAACATCGTTTATAAGCGCAACCTAAACGAGCAATATTTAATGTTATCTTATAATGGTATAGTAAAAGAAGATAAGGCTTGCCGATACCGTCATATCTTTAGTTGTAATAGAGGAAATTTACCGATACTGTTAAAAGACTAGCCTACTGTCAAGACTATTTTAAGACTTTTTTTTAACATTAGAAGTATCGCGAACAGTTACTAACCGCTTTTATTTTTTAGATTAATATTATATTTTTCGTATAAAAGATGGAATGGTGTAATTTTTTTACTTTTTAATTATGTTCTTTATATTCGGATGAAATATTTACAATTTTTCATTATTTTCTTTAATTTTATAGTATTATAATTTATTTGTCTGATCAGTTTAAAAAACGTTGACAGTTCTAGTGTTACATGAAAGCTAAAAATAAACCTCAAGAAACATAATTACATGCCAGAAAGTGTCTTCTATCAGACGATTTGGCAATTTTTACATAATACGCTTTTGAATTTTGCAATAATTTACTTTTTCGTAAGTTAAGCAAAAATGTGAGCGTCTAACAAAATGAACTTTAAAACTGACAGAGTAGACAGTTAATGTCACATATTTCTATTTTCTTTTCTTTCAGGAGTTATCTCTACAAAATAAATATCTACAATTTAATTAATGTATATAAGAATTTCCAGCTAGAATATTTTCACTTTGATATAAAATTTGTTTTTTATTGATTTATATGCATACTTTATGCTTTTTCGCAAGGCACAACACGTAACGCGACAATTTTGAAGGATTTTCACGTAAATACAGGAGTGCGCTTCAGCTTCTATAGAGCTGTTTGACGCAAATAAAGTGATAGTAAATAATGATTAGATGCGTTTTCTAAGAAGGACAGTGTGACACAGAGAATCGATGCATTCTTGTTGTTTACCAATATTAAACAAGGAAATGATTCACTGTGTTACATTGACCGTGTTCAGCAGACAATGCAGTTTGTGACTGTTGTAAGATTTCTTAATATAATTGATTGTTGTTCTTAGTTTCTCACTGAATCTAAATATAATTTGTTTCATTTACATTTAATCAACATTTAAATGTAAATATAAACCAATTACATAAAAGAATTTTGCAATTTGCAATTGCAAAACTGCTTTTTATGCTGAACGCAGCTTGTATGTCCTTGGAAAACGCAATAATTTGCGGTCTGTTTTACAATAAGTGTGTCGGTTTACGCTGCATCCTGATTTTATCTTTAAAATCGCACGATAAAAAAAATAAAAGTTTTTAGAAAGCTACAAACGATCTAACATTAATAATATGTATACTATTATTTAAAGTACATAATTTGTAAAGAAAATTGTAAAAGTTTTATTTTGGCATACGCGCGCAAAGTCAGTTTGTCCTCGAAGGGACTTTTACAATGACTATATACAATATTAACAAAATTATGCAATATAAGTGAATATTAATACGTACACATGCTTAAGTAATTTTTGTTGACGAAAACAAAACAGCAAATAAAGAGAGTAAGAAATATGGGAATAGAATAAAAAGAAAGAAAGACACACACACAGAGAGAGAGAGAGAGAGAGACTTTCAGATATATTAATTAGTTAATATTTATTGATATGTGCACGTTTTAACCGATAATGCAGCGAGCTTAAACAGCATAATTCCCTCAGCAAACGAAAATTAACCCAAATAAATTGCAAATTGCAATTCATTTTAATTTATCCGAATTGGCGCCCATTCACGATCAATCATTTTGCGCAAGAAATATTTGCGACACATAATTTGCACAAAATAAAACACACACTGACATGCTTTTATTGCGCAAAAATTATTTGTATACAGTTAATGGTACTCGTTTTGTATTGGTTACAGCATTATTTAAATTAATATAAATATTAAAATAAATATAACTACTGAAGTTTATGCTGCAGCTTTAATATTTGCATTGTAGTTTCAAAAGGGCTACAAAAAGAAAACGTAAATAACATTGAAAGTGGTAGGTATAAAAAATGTGCTACATTTACAAACATTTGAAAGAATTATTAATAAGCTCCTTCTGATTACCATAATTTCATGCAGATGGAGCATTCGATATTTCTTTCTTTTTTATTAATTTAATTTCTCTTTGAATTTAACTAGTATAAGAACCACAATTAGTAAAATCACTATTAGACCAATCAAATCACTAGGTAATACCTGAGATGTAATTTCTATACTCATACACTCAGAACGATTATTTAATATCGAGCATTACAGTATACTTTGCTATATTTTAAGTACCAAATTTGTGCAACACCACCATTCACTAAACAAATAATTTGCGTAACAAGCGTTTTGCGCAAAAATATCATGAAGGTTCTATAATATTTCACGCAACAGTTGCGCAAACCATCAATCAGTCCCATTTACGATCAATCATTTTATGCAACAAACAATTTTGCGCAAAATGATTGATCGTGAATGAGTCCCCTTAGAGTTCGAAAATACATTAATGTCCCTGTTATATTATTTTTGGATCCAAATAAATTAAAATACAAAATGGGCTATTTATCATGTTGAATTCGAATGTACTCATGTCTGTATTATATTATTTTTGGATTCAAATAAATTGAAATACGAAATGAGCTATCCATCATATTGAATTCTGAATACATCATATTGAATGATGTATTCATGTCCATATTATATTATTTTTGGATTCAAATGGATAAGAAAAATTAGAAGTGCCAATTCGGAAATGTTAAAATGAATTTATTTCTACCTATTTCAATTCATTTTCGTTTGTTGAACCGACTACAATTCACAACGCAATTAACATTATTCATTACTTTAACGGCATGACATATTTCTTTGTATCTTATTTATTTTATTTATTTAACTTATTTATCGTCAACATTATATGCACTCTAGATGGCTACAACATTAGCCGAAACGTTTGTCCTTCTTAAATATTGTAATTTTTTTTAAATACATATATATGTATATGTATATATGTATATATGTATATGTTTTAATTTAAAATATTATAATTTTTATGTCACATCTTTATTAATTTGCAAACCACTTCTTGCGTACCATTGTCTTTATTTTTTTAATTATTTGATTGGATTTATTTATTAAAACTTCCAATTTATTAAATTATACATAATTTTAATTGCCATTGCGACCTGGGCACACCAAGTTTTTGTTTCACTATGATCCTGTTGGCCATTTTAATCATTTTAAGTCCGTTTTAAGTGACTTAGAATTTGCGTAAAAAAATTCATGTGTTGAACTTTTACTGTACAAACATTTTGTTGGATAAAATTGGCATTAAACTGTTACTGTATATGTATATCTTTGGATACGTTAAATTTTTATTATATTAACTTGTAGGTGCGTTGAGCTTTCGCTGCATATATGTATGTACTTATCAATGCATTAAACTTTAGTTTCATACAATTTTTGAGTATTGTACTGAATGACATATTTAAACAGATAATTTTTTAATAGATTTTTATAAGATTTTTATAAGATTTTTCAAGATGTTTCTTTTCGATAATATACCTAGCTAATTGCATTGATTTTAGCTATTTTTGGACAGTTCATTTATAAATAATTATATTTGAATCGTTTATTAAGAAAATATTTTTGATTTTAAGAGAGATATAATTTTTTATACTCTTTCTCTCCGTGTATTTGATATATATTTTTTTCTATTTTAAAGAGATTTTTTTAAAGATCAGAACTATTTAAAAAGAATTATACTATTATACAATATTATTATTAAAAACACAAGCATTTTATTGAGTTTATAATATATGTAGATAAATTGATTACAATTAATTGCTTAAATAACACTGTGTTACAGCAAAATACTTTCCGAAGTGCGATCATACGTTTTCTGAAGATTTTTTCGCGTTGAACACGATGCCGTTTGAAGAATTCGCCTAGCACGTCAGGATTTTGAGTAAATTGGAATAAAAGTTTCCAAAAGTGTTTTCTTCAGGAACCGTATAGTTGCACTTCAGAGAGAGAGAGAGAAAAAAGATGTTTTTTTTGTGTAACACAGTGTAATTATCGTCTTATAAGATTACAGCAACAAGGAAAAGAAGAGAAATATATATTGTGATATAATATTAAACTATATGAATAAAAAGTTTTAATTTTGTAAGTACCTTATAAGTTTTTTAATCTTCCGGATAAACGCCTGAATCAAAGAAGTCTAGAATGCTCAATAGTGCTTTATCGGGTAAATATCTGAAATAAAAAATACTTTTGTTATAGGCAAAAAAATATTAATATACAGTATTCAATATTATTAGTATATTTACAATGGATTATTTTGCAGCTCATTGATATATTTATATTTGAAAATACATTATGTATATTAAAATTAAACTTTTATTGGCGTGATTTACGTACCTTATTAAGTTAGAAATAAACAGGTAATGAAAAGGTATACTTCTGTCTTTATAATTTCGTCTTTGCGCATCAATTATTGCCGATGCCACATATTGCGGTGAAAGTCCTCCCATTATTCGTGGAAATCTATAACAGTAAACAAAATTGAATATAATCTAATAATGCTACTAATAACCGCCATGAATATCTTATTAATTACGTAACATTAATAAATATATTTAAAAAATCCATTACAATAAAACGTAATACAATACTATTAAAATAAAGATTTATTTTCGATAGATATGATGATATTTAAAAGAAATGGATTGCGTGTGCAATATTGCAAAATATATGTTACAATAATATGTATTCTTGTAAATTTACCTAATTTTTGGCTTTTTGCACATTCCAGTATGTACTAGAGTTGGATAAACCGTAGTGAATTTAATAGATGATTTTCCGTTACTTAATGCACGTAGTTCTTCAGACATGGCTTCCATAAGTACTACAATACATACATATGTAAAAATGTTGGCAAAAACTTTATAATTATATATTACATTTTTACACTATTGACATGTATATTATTAAAATTATGTGTAATAAACATTGTATTAACATAATATATACAATTATCTTATTAATTTCTATTAAATAATTTTTATGACAATCGCACACCCTATACATAACATAAATAAACATATACATTTACACACACACACATCTTTATTTATAACATATAATTTATAACTAATTTGAGAGTGCTTTCGATCACGGCTGGATCCTGATGCCTAATAATTTCTATATGAATTTCTTAACTCCATTATTCTTTAAACTGCGCGCCGAATGAATTTTCGAATTTGTCGCAATCAACAGCCGAGGCAAGAATAGAGATATCACATTGATTTTTAATTTTTTAATAAATTAATGCTTATAAGCATCTTAAATTACTGAAAAGACTTATTGCGAAAAATATTACCTCAGTCATCAGGATTTGAATCTGGGACCTCCCGACTTTTCTATGAATAATAGAGTTAAGAAATTCATATAGAAATTATTAGACACCAAGATCCAGTTGTGACTGTTGAAGACGCTCTCAAATTTAGTTGTGTATTCACAACGGTGTAGTTCAAATTATAATTATTATATAATTTATATATTGTTAATATTATGTTAATATTATCATTTCATATCATTATATAATCATAATCATAATAAGTATAATCATTGAATATGGGGTAAAGCACCTTTAGTTGCGGATTTTGTAGGACAGTATACGGTTCCGCAATGAGCACCAATAAATGCTGTTACTGATGAGAGCGCCACAATATGACCGTAATTATTTTTGATCATACTTGGTAAGAATGCTTTTAATGTCTAAAAATAATTTCCCCTTTTAAATTGCGACTTGCCGAAAGCTTTTATTAATTAAAACTCATTCAAATCGTACAGTATTACATCACCCAAAAAAATTTTAATATTAATGGAATCCGCTACACTTTATTGAAAGAGGAATACTCTTTCTTTCGAAAAGTTTTCGCTTAGAATATAGAATTAGAGGACATTTCACTTTATAACTAGAATTTTTTTGGGTGATATATCGATGATAAATAAATATATTAGTATTTGTTAAAAAAAAATAGTAACAATTACGTTAATGATTATTTCTAATATCTCGTAGTGTCTCATCTGCCTCAGAGAAAAGAATATTAATACTTGCCCAGTACTGCGCTGTCACATTAACGTCTATGACTCGTGCAATTTCATCTAGGCTATGATTTTGGAATGATTTAACAAACGCTATACCGGCATTGTTAACCAAGATAGTAACGTCACCCACTTCTTTTTTTACTTTCTCGGCTACTCTAAAGACTTCCTCCCTATTCGCTACATCACATCTATAAAACGTGATCAAATTTTAATCAGTATTGATAATGGATGTTTGCAAGTATTCGTTATACATGTATAAAAGGGATCATTTACGATCAATCATTTTATGCAAAAAATATTCACGCAACATAATTTGCCCAAAGTAAAATTCCACACACGCTGACATTTTATTGCGCAAAATTTATTTGTGTACAACTAATTGTTAATAGTGCCCATTTTATACTGGTACAGTATTATTTGAATTAATATAAATACTCCCTAAAATAAATATAACTACTAAAGTTTATGCAGCTTTAATATTTGCATTGTAGTTCCAAAAGGACTACAGAAAGAAAACGTAAACAATATTGCAGGGTAAAAAAGTGGTACAAAAAACGTGCTACATTTACAAAAAGAAAGAAATGTTAAATGCTCCATTTACATGATTAAAAAATTATGGTAATCAGGAGCGTTTTTTGTTAATTAAATTTTTTTAATTTAGCTAGTATAAGAACCACAATTAGGAAGTCACTAGGCCAATGGTAACGTCTGAGGTATAATTTCTATACTCATACACTCAAAACAATTATGTAAGGAGCATTACTATCAATCAATCCTATTTACGATCAATTATTTTGCGCAAAATGATTGATCATGGATGGGCCGCTTGAATTCTGTTCGAGTCGTCTTTTTATTTCATCGAATCTTGCAAAAAGTAATATATCAACTTACTTATACGCATATACAGATTGTCTTCCTATTTTTTTAATATCGTTCATTGTTTCATTATTGGTTTTTTCATTAATGTCCCAACATACGACTGTTGCTCCTAACGAAGCATAGCCAATCGCTAACTCCTTTCCGATACCATGACCTGCACCTGTTATCTATAATAATATTTATTACATATTTATAATATAAATAAAACATATAATTTAAATTGTTATAAATAACAGTTTACAATTTTTTTTAAATTAAAATAACATGAGTTGTTATATTCATTATAATGTTTAGCTCGTATTTGAATAACAACAGTATAAGATAAATCGGCCAAGGACGAGCGAAGGTAAAAGTGACATAAAATCACTAAAAAAACTCAAATTAATAAATAAATAGTTTAATATCGTGTAGTTAAGATCAATACGTTTCGACTCACAGAATCTTTTTTTCAGTTGAAGATATTAAAGGTCAATAAGTAAAATGCAGATAAAGATTTTAACTACACGACATTAAACTATTTATTTATTTATTTGAGTTTTTTTAGTAATTTTATGTTACTTTTACCTTCGCTCGTTCTTGGCCAATTTATCTTATACTTTAGCTGTTATATTCTTTTAATAAACAATACCATGGTAGAAATACAAGAGTATGCTCTCGCGCATGTTGATGCCGAGCGGCCAATCAAATTGTCACCAAGAATACGTCATCGTTACGTGGTAAATTTGAATGTATTATTTCAAGCATGCTCAGTTATGTTCTAAAATTCACTGCCAGTATTGAAAATCCACAGAACATTGAAAATTTATAGCTTACGTTACGTGCATTATAGATTTTTAACACTGAAAGTGAATTTTGATACACAACCTTTGAGTATATATAGTACATGGAGGTGGAATGCCTTAATTTGTTCTCTGTAAGCCGCAAGTGTGTGACCTGTGTGTCCAAGGCTGCGTTCCGTTTGACGCTTACAGCTGCTTACAGCGCTCACAAAATCATTTCATCCTTGTTTATCAAATGGTGAACAAAGATAAATGATGCTTATAAGCGCTGTAAGCGCCAAAAGGAACGCAGCCCAAGAGAGGCAAGAAGTGCAAGAGAAGTGCAAGAGAGATTTTTACTACTTCATAATCTATACTTTCCTCAACGTTTCAAATTTTTCTGTCTATCTGATTTTATCTATTTTTCTATAAATAAAAACAAGTGTTCTTTTAAATTATATTGCACAAGCAATTAAAATATTTAGTAAAAGACTTGTATTTTAGTCTCTGAGTGTAATTCTCTACTTAATACATTAATTTTTACATTTTATGTATAATATTTTAATATTACTTAATAATTTAGAGTAATCTAGGACATAAAGATAAAATATAATTTTGATGAAATAAAGTAATTGTTAGATCTTACGTGTCTGTGAAATTAAAGATGTCTTTAGGCGTTTTTTAGACGTCTTCAAGACGTTTTATGTCTCGATTTTGGACTTTGCATTGCTGAGTTAATTATATATACAGATAATAAGATTTTAATATGTTCTTATATTCGATATTGATAAGAGGGCCGACAGTTAAAATTCCTCATAATCATAATACGTTATTATTATACGTTGCGTCACTAAATGTATGATCTTCGCTAACTTCAAATGTTTATAATTAAAAAACTACTACAATCAACATTTTACAATTAGGATTTTTATTTCAAAATAATTTAAAAAACCCATCTTTAAACGTTATTACGTTCTTGATGAGAACCTTGGTATAATATATGTATATGTATGTATATATGTATAGTATATGATTGTATTATACTGTATAATAATAATAAAATATAACGTACTTATGTTTTTAAAGAACATATCTGTATAATTATACAATAATTTTCAATAATCTTAAATTTTTATAATAAAAATAATTTATCTTATTGTATATTTTTTTTATATAACTGTACATATATCTTGTAGAGAATTTTGTAGAAGAATTTTGTACGCACCAAAACAATTTCACCAGCTACATTCTTTTTCTTCAGTGGAACGATCAAATGGTACATACTTTCGAAAATATAATATATTACTTTCAAAAGAAGAACCAATATCTCCATTAGAAGGTACAAAATATGTGTATTTTTCATGGTTTCCTGAAAAATTCATAATTTCTTTATAAGAACATCTAGCAAAGCCGGAATTAAACATTTAACAACTAACAATAAACGCTCGATAAAAATAGAGAATATCTTATAAAAACAATAGTAAAATATTAGATGCAATAGACAAAATTTTCATGCATTTGCACACGTTTGCGACACGGTTTCTCGCATACAGCGAACCACTGACTGGACATATTCATACAAGCACACGAAAATTTTCTGTTGTGTCCGATATTTTCGCTATTAAAGCATTGTATAGCATTTTTGTAAGATATTTCATATTTTTAACGTCAAAACATAACGTAGCACGCCATCATACATACATATTTATAGCGTAGCGACTTGTTTCATAAATGATTGTCACATGTTTTTCTGACTTAAAGTCAATTTTGTTTTTATACGTTCCCATCATATAATGTAATTTTAAATACATTGAATTTCTTGTTTCAAAAATTATAAGAAATAATGTCTATTTTATTTATCGCACGCTAGGCAATCAAATTACCTCCACTACACCGTACACTAGGCGACTGCGGTCCGCGATGGGCGATCGTATCTCGCCGCGCGTTCACATTCGGCGATATTTATAAACTAATATTTCAATAACTATTGCGAAGATCGCAAAATTATGGACTTTTCGATTTAGTTTAGCTCTCTGTCCATGAGTGCTTTACCATTTACTACCCTGTATATTGTATGCAATAAAATTAAAGCAAAGAAAGCTAACATTAAAATATAATAAAGATTTTTCTCAACATCTTTTTTTTACATTTTAAAACTTTTTATAGTGTTTCATGAAATTTCAGAGAAAAAGAGAATTTTTTTTACAAAGCTTTCGCTATTTCTTTAAAAAAAGCTATAAAAATGCTTTATTCACAATTAATGTTATCATTTATAATTATATATCAAAATAAATATTTAATGTATGAAAGTATGTAAAAAGTGTAAATTTACAAATAATTATATAAATGACAATATTAATTGTGAATAAAGGTTTTTTATAGTTTTTTTTTAAGAAATAGCAAAAGCTTTGTAAAAAACATAGATTTAAATTTATAATTTTTTACTGTAGTTGATCTAATTTACAAATTAAAAATATTACCATTAGGTAATATCCATTACCAATATCCAGTTGCGGTCAACTTTGGTAATTTCTTCTTATTTATTTGTTATACATATATACACAGCAGCCTTATTTAAATTATTGTTACATACGTCTTTCAATGCGTTTCTCCTTATAAAAGTGGTTATTGCGATAAATATTATTGCAGCCTCAGTAGTAATAATTGAATAGTAATTAATGTGTTTGTCCCAGATAGAATTAAGTGGTAATATTTTATGCAATAAGTTTCCTACAGCGTTTAAGATGCTTGTAGCATTATCATAGAATTAACGATCAATTTAATTTTTAATAATATTTCAGCTTTATAATTGCGTTCTTAAAAGCCGACAATAAGCACGCGCAATTTACTATAATAGAAGCCTCCTCTTTGGTGAGTTTTCACTTATTTGCTTTATAATTTTTAATTATTACCAAAAACCGAGTCCATTTATAATGAACGATATTTGTTATAAAGTATGAAAAAAATAAAATTAATGTTACTTACTCGATCGCCGTCCATAACGTTTGCTTCCATAACTTCTGGGTACGTTTTCTCTCTATTGTTGTATGTTAAACTGCATTCAATCCGTTTTAATGAAGAACTAACTAAGTGTGTTTAACATATAGACTTTATCCTTTTACTTATATCCCCTAAGAGATTTTATCAAGCGCATGCGTGAGATTGAAGAACTGGTCTTAATAACCTTGATGTCTCAAACTGGCTGCACTAGTTCAGAGTTTATCTTTCTTTTTGCAATTTTCTCGTATGATATTATACGAATATTGATATTGATGATATTATTATACGAAAAGAATGTTTTATTTCTTAATGATCCAATAACATATAAATTTTTTTATTATTTTATAAAATAATTTTCTTGTTTTTCTTTTATACATTTAAACATAATTCAATTTTTATAGTCAAATTATATATTGGCTCATATTTTAGAAATGAAATAAAAATTAGAGGAAATAAAAATCAATAAAACGAGCAAACTATCCTAAAAAAGAACTAATGCAGTGATAACACTACTGAAATGTAGTAGTGGTATTGCTGGTATAGCAGTGACTGCATTAGTAGTTCTTTTTTACGAGGGAGAGATGTATTTTCTTGAATCTATTAAATATTTCTTTCATTTATAAAAAGTATATTCAAAGAACTATATTTATTTTATGTTAACAAATATTTTTCTCACGTACTAACTGGGCAAAATGTGTAAATGGATTCTAATAAAACAAAGCTAATAATCTACATATAAATTATGTATTAAAATTAAATGTCCATTTCTATTTTAGTTGATGATGATTGTCTTTCAAAAAGAGATTTTGTACTATTTATTTCCTAAGTTTTTACATGCATGTTTTGTATTACATACAGGATCTTAGTGTCAAAACTACAGCGGTTTTAGCAATTGAAAATGCTTTATAATAAATGCTTATCCGATTTCGAACGATTTCGGAACTATGGACTATTAAAGTTGTTTTTGTAAGGGAATATGAATTGAAGCAAATGTTGTTGATTTGCCAACTTTTTGGAATTGCCAAAAAGACGTTGAAGAGGACCTCGTTGGAATGGAACCTCATACCTCTAGATTGGTCGCCGACTCATCAAGAACCGAATTGAACTATCAAAGATTATCAAAAGAAGAGGTCAGGCTTTAGATAATGATTTTAAATCTTGAACACCATAACTCACACCAATAAAGAAACGTTACTTGCTCTCCGACTAAGATTAATTATAATTAATTATAATTTGAAATTTTGTGATTAAAGAAGATTTAGTAAAATCAAAACGTTCCGCCTTAGTTTGTATCGAATAAAATTATATAATTATATTACAACATCTTTGTTTGCTCATTTGTTCTTATTTTCTCTTGAATAAGTTCAGTCACATTAACATTGCTATACGCTACTTAAAATTCTATTAAAAATTCTATAAAAATTCTTCTAGTTTTTGTATAAAACATTTTAAAGAAAAATGTTTCGTACAAAAACTAGAAGAATTTTTATAGAATTTTTTATAGAATTTTAAGTAGCGTATAGCAATGTTAAGTAGCTATACGCTACTTAAAATTCTATAAAAAATTCTATAAAAATTCTTCTAGTTTTTGTACGAAACATTTTTCTTTAAAATGTTTCGTTTCTGAAATATTCGATTGTGTTCGGACTGTTAGTCTGTATATGTTTTTATGTTTATATTTTATTATTACTTACAAAATAGAAACGCGTTTTATATACTTTTATATATTTTTTTAGCAATTGCTTAAGTTTAATAAAAAATGTGAGCATTATTATTATAAAAATAAAAACAAAATAGATTTATTTTTATATCATTTATATCATTTTATATCAGCTCTATTCTTTTCAGCTAAACTTTTTACACGATTCTTTTCTCTCTTTTTTTCTTTTATACGGAGAGAAAAACAGGAAACATGAAGTCAAGTGCAAAAAATTCATCTAAAAAGAATAAGCCTCATGATATTATAATTAGATGACGGTAAGCATCAGCACTTATTAAATTGGTTATCAATTCAATAATATAACATTATTCTGTTTCAAGCAAGAGCTCCGTTAAAACTAAAAGTAACAGTGCGCAGTTTGTGGAAATATGTATGTAAAATTCACACAGTAATTAAATTTAACAAGCCTCAAGATCCTGCTATATGACCGATCAGTCTTTTCTCAATTTAATTGTGTTAAAACACAAATACGATCGGATATATACATATTGCATTATATATGCGTGCGTCAGCGCGTTTCCACACATTTGTGTGTGTGTGTGTGTGTGTGTGTGTGTGTAAACATGTGTATAAGCACACAATTTTAATTTTATTAAAATTTAATGTAAATGATATTAAAGCTTATATATAAATAAAATTTAATTAGAAATAATATAAAAGAGCTAATAATCTACATTGAGTGTTTTTTTGCAAATTTATTCTACTGTATTGAACAATAATGTAATTATATTTTGCAATTTAATATTTTATTTAGAGATGTTTTTTCCAATATGTTTGATGAATTCTCTAAGATGGTTTTTTTTCTTTATTAAATTGAGTCATAACTCAATTTATTAATAATCCAGAAGCATTCTCTCCATTCATGATTTCTTCTCTCCTAAGTTAGAAATGCTATCTTTTTCTCTATCTCCACCATACAATCTCCATAATACAATCCATATTTCTACCTTCTCATTATCCATAATTTATTTATCACATTACTTCCTCAAAACGATAAGTAAAAATACCAGGATATATATATATATATTTACATATATGTCCAAGTGTAATTTAAAGTTAACAATCATTGGCATGATTTGACATTTTTGGATTTAATTTAAGTTTCTGACATGTAAATTCTTATTTTAAGTTTATTTTAAGTTTATATCAGTTATACATATAATTAATTGAAAATTTTTGACCATTTTAATTCAGTATTTTAATAAACTATTCAAAAATATGAACTTTACATGACAATTTCTTAATTTTAGAAATATGACTCATTACACATTTTATTTAATTTTATTGATTTGACTCCTTTCGGGTATGACTACTTAACTTATGATTGACTCTCTCTTTTACATATAATCCTACAAACTCACAAATTATTGTAAAATTTAATCCCAAAATCTCATGTGAGATAAAACGATAGAAATCAGAGCATACTACTATAGCGGTTTGACTAACACAAAGAAACAACGAAAAAAAATCGATTACGTACGAATATGCACTATTTAATTTGGATATTTTATATAATTAAAGATGATCACCATAAAACCAAAAGATTTTATAGTTGTAATTTTAAATTTAATTTAGATTTGCACTTTATATTCGCATCATAATGATAAGCATGTTATATTATTGATTAGTCCATTACATTACATTACATTATATTAGAAAAAATTTTCAAAAAAATACCAAGCGTGACTTCTTAACTCCTTTATATTATATAGTTGCATTTAACTTTATTATTTATCTTTTAATTAATTAACTAATTACTACCCAATCTTTGCTTGTTGGCAGTTTTAATCCTGCATTTTTTGCAGTTCCTAGTTTTAAGATATTAATGTGTAAAAATTAATTTATTTAACAAAAACTCAACAAACAACACAAATGTGTTCATAAATTCGAATCTCGATGTAACATTTATATTATACATACATGGTCTGTCCCAAAAGTAATGAGACTATTTTTGACATCAGAATTGTCGGAGGGTGGATCCATTGGGGCCTTTGATGCAGGATATCAGGTATAATTCCGACTCTTTCCAGTTGCCACCGAATCTTCCTAGCAGTTGAGTACCGTCACCAAAAGTGTGTTGTAATTTTTGTGTCTTGTCACGGTCGAAAATTCAGCAATCTCGAGCAGCGATCAAATTCTGCGTGAAACTGAGAAAATCTAGTTCCGAAACGTTGGAGATATTGAGAACAGCTTATAGGGTGCTGCTTTGTCTTCAGAATTTGATCGCTACTCCAAATACAGCGTAGTCTGTGCTGAATTTCCGTGACAAGACACAAAAATTACAACGCGTTTTGCTGACGGTATCGACTGCTAGCTAGGCTCGGAGGCAACTAAGGGTCAGATTTTATACTTAATATCCTGCAAAAGCCCTGTCCAATGGATCCACTCCTTGACAATTCTAATTAGACCCCCAAAAATAGTCTCATTACTTTTGGGACAAACCATGTACAATCAATACTCTTGTTATATTAAAATTACAACTTTCGTCAAATGAATTTCTTTACATGAGCATTGCGCATGCATCTAACTAATATCCACAATCCTCTAACTTCTTTTTCGCCTCTTTTTATGTGCTCTAAATTAAATTAATATAGGATACCAATTGTTTTCTCACATACTTATTTTATAAACAAATTGCGTGAAATGCGTATCGTATATGTTATTTATATAATTTTAAGTAATTATACATGTATAAAGATTATATTATTAAACGACCATTATGCACATCTTATGCTATTACCGCATAATCAAATAATAACGCAAATATCAATAATATATTAAATAACAATATCTGACATATAATATGTATATAACAACAGCGCGGTTTTATCGCTATAAATACATTGTGCCAATCTTGTTAATCATTTAAGCAGAACAAAACATTATTGTTCGCACAACTGATTTCCATACATATAATAATTGTGCCGATGCCATTAGAAACAATGTGGCGTTTACATACAATGACTTTTTTTAGTATAGTACAAAAGATTTATTTGCTATTTACGTCATATCATACTTATCGCATTAATATAAAACACTTACGCTTGCGCGTTTACACACATGCACTGGTTCTTGGCGACGATAGATTAGGATTAATTAATAGATAATTATTTTTATATTTAGAGTAGCCGAATGCAACCTCCGAAGTTTTCGAGAAATATGCATTATTTTTAACTTATAATTAAGTCGGCGAATCTGGTGTTTATTTACGTCTTAATAACAGCATAAATAATAATAGCATACGCGCTGGACAATCATATAAAAAAATTGTATTCACATATTTATTTTGGATTAATCAGAGATGTTTTTTGCAGAGTTGTTAACTGTCTGCCTCAACACCGGTGTCGCAAAAGTCGATTAAGGAATGTATTGCATTGTCGGGAAAAAGTCTGAAATTTAAAATGTTTATTAGCTATTACTTGTGTTTTTCTATATTTATCTAATATTTTCAGAAAACTGACTGAGAGCAATAAACATACGGAGAAATTTTTCTTTACAAGAAAACAAATTATTATACCGATCATGTATTAATAGACATATTTCTATTAAATAATTTATTTACTACTGTTTATTGTATATTTATTATTACATTTATCATACTAGTTAAAAATAGGTAACGATTGCATATCTATTTTTTATATTAGTTGTTTGTAGTTGTGGTTTTGTTAATATTATTCATCTGTTTACATTAAAATATCGAAATAATTTTTATGCATATTTTCTTTGAAGTTAATGTTTTTATACAATATAATAATGTTTTTATAAATTCTACTTTGTGTAATATATTGTGATTTACCTTGTTATGTTGTTGACTGACAACCAGGCTGAAGGCACACTTCTCTCGCGGTAGTTGCGCCTCTGTGCCTTAATTATTTCTGAGACTGCGTATCCCGGTTTAACCAACGGCATGGCATCCGGGAACCTGTTGAAATTAGAATATTTATTGCCAAATAATGTTAAGAAATCAACGGTATTTCGTAATGTTATTTAAATTATTTAAAAAATTGTGTCTAATGTAAGGTCCGAGGTAATTAACTGCGGAATAAAATTCTATTCTGCTGTGTAACTCTAATAGCTCACCTCGCATCCAAAAATCTAGTCTGCATGTAAAAAAGCATAATTAATTAATAACGTGTAATTATTTACGTAATTATCTACGTGCATCTGTTATTGCGATATATAAACACGTCCATCAACGTATCCGAGAATGAGTGAATTTGATTGCGAATTTGAATTAATGTTTTTACATAATAATAGTATATATTTTACACTCCATTACATAACAAAATATTATGCATGTAGCGTAAACGTTGCGTTTACGTGAACTGCAGGTCAAAAGTTTGAAAACACTTTTTAAAAGATAGGATATTTTTCATAGAAATTTTTGTTTTACTTTTTAAAAGTTAATATTTTTGGGATTACTTACTCAAACATCCATAATAATGCATTTTTTTTTAAATAATGCTTTAGATCCAATAATTATTGAATAAAGTAAAAAAAACAGTTTATCTGCGTTTGTTATATAGTTGTGCGTAGTATAGTGTATAGTTTTTTATACAGTTTATCTGTGTTTTTATCAGTGTTTCGAAACTCTTTGCCTGGAGCGTATAGTTTCACCGTTTGTGCTTACCTTACTTTCGGCTTCTTGCAAAGTCCAGTGTCTACCATGTACGGATAAATGGTAGTGAATTTGACTAGAGATTTTCCTTTGCTGGCTGTCCGTAGTTCCTCGCTGATCGATTCCATAAGCCCTACAATATTCGCGCCAACAAAGTTAAGAATGCGGCGCTTGGTTGCTCGCGCGTAAAAACGCAACGTTGAAATACGAGATGGCTTACCTCTAACTGCAAATTTCGAAGCGCAGTAGGGAACTAAATTTGGAAGGCCACCGATTCCAGCTAACGACGAGAGCGCAACTACGTGGCCATGATTCTTTTCGATCATGCTTGGTAGAAATGCTTGCAGCATCTAAAAGCAGTAGAAACAATGGATCTTGAATGTAAAGGATGTAGACAGTGAATAACGATTTGTAATTAAAAAAAAAAAGGGGTATTGCATTGTGTTTGCAAACAACAGTATCAAGTTATTTTATCAAGATATAAAAATCTAATTTTTATACTATTTTTCACTCGGTTACATACGCCAATCAATTTATGTCAGCCCTTTAACTTACCCAGAAGTGGGCCAGCACGTTTATGTCAAAGATCCGTCTAATTTCGTCAACCGTATGATCGAGGAATGCGTGGCAGGGCATTATACCAGCATTGTTAACCAAAATAGTGACGTCACCGACTTCCCTCTTGACCCTTTCGGCTACGCTGAAGACGTTCTCTCTCTTCGACACGTCGCATCTGCGGAACGAAATAAAAAACATTTCTGAAATTCCCTCGAATTACCTTCCAACTCGGTTGTCGCAACTACCGTGTTTCTCGCAGTTTTGCATTTTGCAAGAGAATAAACGACATAAACGTACTGATACGCGTATGCTGCGGCTGTTCCAGTTTTCTTTATCTCATTCACCGTCTCTTCGTTTGTTTCTTGGTTCACATCCCAGCAAACCACCGTTGCGCCCAGCGATGCATAGCGAAGGGCTAACTCTTTTCCAATACCATGGCCAGTGCCTGTTATCTGTAAAAACGTAGATAATAAATTATAGAGTGTAAAATTACATAGTTTTAGCATCCCTCTTTCGCTAATTTGTCAAAATGTTCCTTCGAGATTTCTAATACTCTTTCTCACTATTAAATCTAATTTATTTCATCAATTTAATATACAAATAAATGTTAATTACTTTCATGTTATTTACTTTACTGTTATTTACTTTCTATATTTATAAATTTCTTAAAATTGTCTTGTGGAACTTGATCACACAAAAACTATGCACAAATTAATTCAAATTATGGAAAAATATTCACGTGCACATTACATAGATAAAAAATTGAAAATAATTATATGCTGTTAACGAGTTATTTACGTCATGGAAAAAAATGTCATTCTTTTTTATATTTCTATGAAATTATAGTTTGCAACAACTGTAATTGTTTGTCCAATGTTCAATCGGTTTTATAAATTCATTAATCATTGGTCATTTGCTTAACAATGTAATCTTTACATTACAATGATTTGGATCTGTGTTCTATAAAAAAAAATTAGTTGTAAATCAAAATAAATTTTCTCATGTACATATAAGCAAAAATATTATAATTTATCTAGAAAATATTTAGTCTTAAATTAATTGGAATATTTATATCAATATAAATTTAATCAAATCAAGACTAAAATTTGAAGAAGATTATAATACTTTTGTTTATGTATAAGAATATCTATTTTGATCTAAAATTAATTTTTTATGTGTAATTAGTTTCTGAATTAACTACTATGTTGAATATAAAATCATTGTGATTTCTAGCAAATAGAAAAGATAATACAATAATAATTGTTCAATATATCATTGACGTATTTCTTTTCTGTTAACATGAGAACTTCATCTCAAACGTTAGATTTAATCAAATACATTCTACGCAGTATTACGTATAAATAACAAAGTATGCAGCATTATAGTTAGTGAAGAATAAATTAACATATACATACCAGAACGATCTCACCGGCCACGCTTTTTTCTTCTGCGGGAACAAAAAATTTGTACACGCTCTCGCAAATGTAATATAGAAGCTTCAAAATAAGTAGCAAAACGTCCGCAAGGATCAATGCGCCATTGTATGCTTTTACCATGGTTGCTTGATTTTCTGCCCTGCGAAAAAAAAATTTCTCGTTTAATTGCAAAGAAATAAAATGATAAAACTCACATTCGTTCATTTATTCATTCTGACAAATTTTTTTCCTAGCAGAAAATATGTAACTTCTAAAATATGTAGTAAAAATATGTAAATAAATCACGATTTATAACACATAGCTTAAACTCGATACTATTTTTAATATACATTCTCTCCATATTTGTCGTTTGAATATTATATAATGGACTTCAACGTAGTTTACGTCATAACGATTATTATTGTACATTATCATCTTTGAATACATTGCAGAGCAGTTAAAAATAGAGGATTATAATTATTAATTTATATTATTATTCCGATGTTTCTTTCTTGAAAAAATTAATAAAGTATATTAATATATTGGCTAGTAATTTTCTTAATAATATTTAGAATAATTTAATATGTATATTTATATGTATATAATATTTTAAAATTATTTCAAATATTGTATATATATATATATATATATATATATATACATATACATATATATACACATTGAG